TAATGGGAAAATGAATTAAAATAGCTGAAAATACATACAGACTGCTACAAATAAATCCGCAACGGGCTTCGAGGTATGTTTTCTCCCGTTTTATGGGCGTGTCACAGGTATTACCCAATCAACTTTGAGAAGTTTGTAAAAAGGTAGGGAAATGCATTGTGCTTGCGTACACAACAGGGTGTTCAGGGAACCATTGATTCTGTTGAAAAAAATATTTTGCTACGTTTTGTCTGCGCTGAACTGAGCCCAAGTTACAAAGTGTTGTACAATAAAACAAACATGATCCATACTTAAAAATATAAATGAATGAAAATAAATTAAAAATCAACAATAAAATCAGCTTTAAATAATACAAAACAGCAATAATGTTTTTAAAATGATAAAAGTGAGACTTGAGAAGAGATTTACAAGAGGCCACTGAATTTGCAGGGAGCTTCACAACTGAGGTCTGCCATTGGTCTGGTTTGTAGGGAGTTATCAAATCACAGATGTAGGCAGGCCATTCAGGGCTTTAAAAACAAGTAGTAAAATCTTAAAATCAGGGGTGATTTCAATCATTTTTCTCGTTGAACAACATGTTTACTTGCAATGTTGCCCAACTTTGTTGCCTAAATTGTTATCATTAATTGCTAGAGCGAAGGTGGTCTGCATTGGCATCATTTAAAGTGTTATTTTATAGTGTAAAGTTAAGATCACAACGCTGTAGCTCTGAGAGTGTGTGGTCCTCTCTGTGTCTAGCTGCTCGGAGGCAGTAACAGTAGCACATGTGTGTGTAAGCAGGCATGTGTGCTCTGGGAGCAGAGTGAGCACAGCAAGGCATCATCAAAAACACCAGCAAAGGAAAATGTAGAAGCAGAATTAGTGAAAATTGTGTTACAAAACATACATCAATACAGTAAGAATGTCCTGTTTATAGCAAACAGCACAAGAGACACCAGCTTACTCCACAAAGTCAGGTTTTTGGTTAAAATAGCATGGTCGGCAGAGGGCGTGCCTAGGACACAGAGAGGGGGAGTATTGCAGACAAAAAGTTAGACATCAGTCAAGAAACGGTCATCAGTGATTATCCTTAATTAATATTAATAATCATTGTTTATCATTTTAATCAGTTTTATTATCATTAATCAGTTAGTTTAATCAATAAGTAATCATTCTTAAATCATCATTTTTATTTTATTAGTATTAATCATTAATCATTCTTAGTCATTTTCTTTTTACATAGATGTGCTTTGGTTTTTACTTATAAGTCGTGAACTGTAGTCATGAACACAGAAACAAGCTCACTGTGGTTAGATCCTTGAGTGGGAGGAATGACTGCAGGAAGTGGCTGCAGATGGTTTGCCTTGTCCAACTGTCATCTACTATAGATTATGACCATAGGAGAGGCTGCAGGTGTGCAAGATCTGCAGACACTGTGACAGTGCATGCTTCGTTCTGCTGTTATCTACTGTTGATGTGTGTTAATCTGCTAATATTAAGTTTGATTGTCAACTTCCAACCTCAGGTTATTATAGCCACTATGAGCTTTGAGTGAATTTGCTTATGACCTGTGTGAGCTTTGAGTGAACTTGCTGAAGGAATTCATGCTTTGCAAAAACACGACAGAGGATGACCAAAAAACCGACAGATGCTTTGCAAAAACATGACAGATGTTTGGCAAAAACACGACAGACAGATGATAAGCAGAAAGCAGAAAGCAGTCAGCATAACATCAAGAAGGCTGTAAGAAACCAAGCATTAATGAAAAATGCAACTTATTATGTCGTTATTCTTATATTAATTGTTTAAAAAATACAATTGTACGTCAAATTAAGCATGCGTAACACGGTGAGACTGAAGTTGAAATGTAAATGATGAACTTCTTTTCCAGTAGTATAAAGGTGTAGAAAGTCAACAATACAGTAATAAATGACAGCTGGGGAACAGTGTTAATTGGTTAAAACAACACAATAACAGAGGAAAAGAAGTTCATCATGAGGAAAGGAGGGAGCAAACCAGCCCAGAAGAGCTATATATAAGACTGTCTGCAGACCATGGGAGGGACTTCATCCTCCGACCTGCTGGGATGTCGTATGGGTTTATGTGTCCTGTTTTGGAATAAACTCTTTTTGCACCGACTCTTGACCGTCTCCAGAGAAGTTTTTGATTGCAAATTTATTGACTATAATAGAAAGCTAATGGAATATTTTTTGACAAAGTTTATTAAGTTGGTGAAGGTGGGAACCAGGCTTAACTGGCCCGGCCTGGTCGTACATCTGACCCAACAGTACCCAATCAGCTTGTAATCAAGTTTGTAAACACTACTGTATTAAAAAGGTAGGAAAATGCAGCGCACTTGCATACACAGCAGGGTGTCCAAGGCACCACCGTTTCTGTTGGAAAAAACGTTTTGCTACGTCCAGTGAGTCCATGCACATAGTGAGTTTCAAGGGGGGGGAATGCAACTTCTCTGCAGATGCCAAAGCAGACTGTTGGCTTTATCACCTCAGGGCTCCATTTTGAGACAGTATGAGTATTTTTTACAACTACTCATACATATGTGACCTGCAAATTTGACAGCATTAATGGTAGTTGGCGACCGGCAGGGCCCTAACCAGGGTTTAGAAATGAGTGAGTTCCAGATTTTGTTTCTTTGAATAGAACTTATATACGGTAATTCATACCAAAATCCAGTCACACAAACTAATGATCTACAATGAAATACGTAGGCGTGTTGACAAAAACCCCCAACTTTTATTAAAACTGGATTGTGTGTGAGCACCAAGTGAAGGCTTAAACCAGGTAGTGGGCAAAGCACTGTGTTTGGTTAAGGACACACTAACTTCAGGCTGTTCATTATGGTCTTTCTCCCCACCGCTTGGCTCACTAAAATTGCATAAAATAAGAGATACAGACACACAAGCTATGGTCAGGTAGCGCAAACAGGGAAATATTGATTAATACAGAAACAGAAATCCTGGTCATTGGGTCCCTAGTAAATCACATTAAGCCTGTGGCAAAGAACCTTGGTGTTTGGTTTGATAGTAATTTAAATTTCAAGCAGCACACCACAAAGCTTGTTCAATCATGTTTTTATCTTAGAAATATATGTTAACTATGTTAACTTAAGGACACAGAGACCATTTTTACACGCCTTCAGTTCATCACGCCTGGATTATATATATACGCCTTAAATTATATAACAGCCTTTTCACCTGTTTAACCCAAAAATTTATTGATCGACTCCAGACTGTCCAGAACTCAGCTGCCAGGCTTTTAACCAGAACAAAGAAATATGACCACATTACTCCTATTTTAGCTTCATTACACTGGCTCCCAGTATGTTTTAGAATTGATTCTATTGATCACTTTTAAAGCTCTTCATGGCCTCTCGCCTTGTTATATTTCTGAACTTTTAGTCCCATACACACCAGCACACACCTTGAGATCCTCGGGCAGAGGTCTGTTGTCTGTTCCAGAGTCTCGACTGAAAACTAAAGGGGACAGAGCGTTTGCTGTCAGGGCCCCGAGGCTCTGGAACAGCCTGCCTGAGGAAATCAGGTCAGCTGAGTCAGTGAACTCTTTTAAGTCCCTTCTTAAAACATACTTTTATAGGAGAGCCTTTCCCGATCTTATTTGACTTTATTTTATCCCTTTTATTTTATTGTATTTTACTAATTTTATATTTATCTTAAACGTGTATTTTAGTCTTTTCAATGTTATCATGCTTTTATCTTGTATTGTTTTTGTATTATTGTTTCTTGGGTATTATTGTCTTGTTGGTTTGCTTTAATGATTAGAGAGGCTGCTGTCAGTCATTTTAAACGTTTCCATGCGCGCAGTAATGTCACAAATTGTTATAAACTTGACAGGACAGGCAGAGCAAACTGCGAAGGAATCTGAATTCAACTTTTGCTTCTGGAATAAATTAAATTCTCTGATGGAGCTCAGGATTGATCAGGTGGACGGCTGCTTTACTCCAGAACGTTTCACTGTATGATCCTGGACTGTCTGTGAGACCTTTTGGATGCGGAGAAGAACACTAATTACATCAACATTCAATCTTGACCTATCCTGTTGGTATGTTGGGAGATTTTAATATGTGCTCGTGTGTAAATGCACACAGCGTCTCTCGGGCAGACACTTGACCCTATTTCACCCACCCAGAAAGTCACTATTTATCGCCCACAACTCTGGCGGCAAACAGCAGTACTCTCATGTTTTCAGGTGCTTCATCAAGCTGGATACTGAACGTGGATCAGTTTTTCAAATTGAATTGTGTGATCAGCTGAATCTGCATGGTCTTAAAGCCTTCATTTAAATTGATTGTGTTATTAATGTTTTTTATAAATACTTTTCATTGTTAGGCTATAGACTACATATACTTATGGAGATCCGGACCTCAGTAACCTCATAGCTGGTTACAACATAATGTTGGTGTTGAGAACTTTCAGACAGCGGACCACATGTTTTAGCTTTGGTGGTGTGTGAAGGAGTTTGGGTCGGGGCTGTGCTGAGCTGCCTAGTGGATGTGTGGGGGCTTGTGGTTCAGGGCTTTGGATCTCTGGGTCTGGGCTCCCCTGGACCTGACCTAGGGCTGGGCAGGGTTGTCACTGGCTCTTGGGTGCTGGTGGTGCTCGAGGGGCTAAGCCCTGGTCTGGAGGGACCTGGCATCCTTTTGCCTAAGGGGGCAGGTGAAAAGGGGACAGGGCTGAATGCTGGGGCCAGTAAGTAAGTTGGCCCCAGTGTGGAGGGCCATTCCTGCCAAACCTCCCAATGACCTCTTCCACCTCTCCCCTCTGGTTATTCAAATCATAACTTTTGTTTGTTACATCTTACTGTTTTGTGTTATTTTTTGTATGTTTCTCTCTCCGTCTCCCTGAACCCGACAACATGCAGTACATTTGATAATTGCTAACTTTGTACTAAGGAGCAACAGCAACAGAAAATGATCGTTTAAATGTAATATGCACTGGTGAAGGATTGGGAGAACCAGAATGACCTGTTCAACACCTTTCAATTGTCAGTGTAGGAGGAACTTGTAACTCCATCTATTCCAGGAAGAGTTTGTTTCGACCATATTTACCTGCTGGAAACATATCTGTTAAAGAGTATCTGTCTGTCGACTCCCCACACAGGTAAGACATTACTTTTACTGAGCACATAGTGTTGAGAGTAAGAACATATAAAATAAGATATCAGTAGCCCCTGCTTCAAGATAGACTGACTTGATGCAATTTTTATGTGTCAGATTTTAATCTAAAATGTTACACAACTTGCCATGTTCTTGAGCTGTGTAGCAGCATTCCGTCGCTATAGATTTTTATCTCAATCCTGGAATGAATCAGACCCACGAGTTGATCCACCACGACCAGTGTATTTTGTTTGTCCTCAAAGAGCGGCAAACCGGGGGGTCTGAAAGTATAATGGCGACACGACAATAGCTATCAGGTTAACAATAAAGTAAAATAACGGAGCTAGCTGTCCTCCAATTCGCTACAAAGTGGACAAGCCATACTGTCCATGTCTTCCTAGTACCCTGTGAGCTGATATGTGCCAGTGGCGTTTCTTTATTTCTTACATTTTTGTATCAGTTTTGGCACACAGGACTGCACAGATCACAGAGGACGCTCGCTAGTTAACCTAGTTTTAAACTTTTTGATGGCTAAATATTTTAAATGAATGAAATTAGTGAGACCATCTACATTTTTTAGAACCTCATACTAGTATAAAAACTCAAAAGGAGAAATCAAGAAAGATCACTAACAAGTGTCTTGGTTATACAAGACTGAGTGCAAAAATAGCAAGTTACTGGAACACGTTTGAATATTTAGAAAGCGTGTCACAATAAACTTAGTCTAATATCTTTTAGGACAGATGCATACATAAGGTCTGTAGCTTTACTTACTTTTCTTGAATACAGTATTAAGTCTTTAGTTGTTGTACTTTTATATAATTACAGTTGCAGGAAAACTATGTGAACCCTTTGGAATTACCTGGATTTCTGCATAAATTGGTCATAAAATGTGATCTGATCTTCATCTAAGTCACAACAATAGACAAACACAGTCTGCTCAACTCAAAATAAGTCAAATTAAGCATCCCTAAAAATGAGAATAAGGTGTTACAAATACTCTACAGGGCAATTAGCCCAGATGCCTTAAGTTACTGCAGTCAGTCTCAGCTCTTCATCTGCAAGCGATGGAGATTGGCCACGCCCACACATGACCCCGCAGGGCGTCACACCAGTTATTAAATCAAGTGGTTCACATACTTTAAGCAGACTGTTTGTCTATTGTTGTGACTTAGATGAAGATCAGATCACATTTTATGACCAATTTATGCAGATATCCAGGTAATTCCAAAGGGTTCACATAGTTTTCCTGTAACTGTAATTATATAAAAACAACTAAAGACTTCATCATACTGTATTCAAGAAAAGTAAGTAAAGCTACAGACCTTATGTATGCGTCTGTCCTAAAAGATATTAGACTAAGCTTATTGTGACACACTTTCTAAATAATCAAACGTGTTCCAGTAACTTGCTATTTTTGCACTCAGTCTTGTGTAACCAAGACACTTGTTAGTGATCTTTCTTGATTTCTCCTTTTGAGTTTTTATACTAGTATGAGGTTGTAAAAACTGTAGATGGTCTCAATAATTTCATTCATTTAAAATATTTAGCCATCAGTTTAAGTTTAAAACTAGGTTAACTTGCAAGAGTCCTGGGCAACTGGCAGTTTTCTTGTTTTTTCACAACCCCAACTCCAGGAAAGAGGAATAATGAATCTAAAATTATTGTATTATTGTTTTAATATTAACAATCAATCAAATATTAAAAAAGTCCCCTCTATGCTACCTGCCAAGCGCCAGTTACTACTCTAACAAAATCTTTTTCTGAGGTATCAGTAATGACAAGAAAAAAATAATATTGGGCATAAACTGATTAACTGTTCTGATCACCCACTTAATAAGGAGTTTGATCACCTTATTATACTGCATTCTGACAGCAGATGCAGTCAGATTAAAACATTTACAGACCTCTGTATTTAAAATATTTATTTCACAACCTGTCAAAATCTGTTCCTCAGCTTCCCTTGGCCCCTGCCTCAAGCCCCTGGTCAATTCTCTCAGGCCATGTTATTGCCTTCAGCTCCCCAGACCTGCCTTCCTCTAGATGCCTATCAGATGTCCTTGGACTTTCCCTCCTTTTCTCATGACCTGGCTACTCCCATCCCTTCCCACCTGTTCCTACTTCTCATCTTCCCTGCAGTCACCTGAGCTTCCCACCTGCACCTCATTACCTAATCACTACATACTTTATACCACTTCCTTGTTCCTTTCCAGTTTGTTATGATGCTGTGTGCTTCTTGTCTCGAGTCTCTCTTTCCCCATGCCTTACCTGCATTTTGGCCAGTTGCCTGTTTATTAGATGTTGAATTCCTGCCGGCCCCTTATGCTGGGCAAACACTGTATGGTTTTAGAAATGTCGTTGTTTTCCAACTCCTACTGTACGAGTAAATTTATGCAGAAATCCAGGTCATTTCTAAGGGTTCCCATTCTTCTTCCTGCGACTGAATATAACTTTCAACAGTTGACTTGAAGTGTAACTGAAAAGTTTCTTTCTTTTTCTCTTTTCTCTTTCTTTTTGTAACAACAAACGCGTTATTTCATAGAGTATGCATATACATGTTTGTTGTTCTATTTTTATAGAAAAGTTTTTTTATGAACTTATTTCCCAAGTTTAGTCCCTGAAGCACCTTAAATGCATATTATATATTATCTTGTTGGCTAGTACTTCTGTAAAAGGAAGAAAAGTCAGGTACATTCGATAATAATGTATACTACTATCCTGATGATGTCATGACAATTAAGCAAATTAAGCTTATATTAGTTTATAAACCTTAACAGTAACAATCCGACAAAAAGTCTTTTGCAAATGCACTTTAACATTATATGTACAAGAAATCTACACAACCTCTATATGTATAAGTAAGATAATGTCATTCTACAGTCAGAAACATGGCCTCTGCATTGTCTGAGGAGCAGTTTTGGTGCGTCATCTGTCTGGATATCTTCAAAAACCCTGTCTCCATCCCCTGTGGGCACAATTTCTGCCTGGCATGCATCAAACGTTTTTGGGATTCACAACACAAGTCAGAGTGTCCGCTGTGCAAAGAGGCCTTTAAAAGACGCCCAGAACTCAGGATCAACGTAGGCTTAAAAGACATCACTGAGCAATTTAAAAGGTCTGTTGAAATAGTATTTTTTTTTATTTTATTTTTGTATACTTCTTATAAACAATGTCTTCTACAATAACACCTTCTTTAGCACCACTGTAGGCACTTTTTTCATGTTTGATATAAATTATCCAGATCTCTGTCTTGAATCAATAGGTCTCTAAAGGACAAGCCAGCATACAAGCCAGCCCCAGCAAAGAGACTTAACCCGAGACAACTTTCTAGGTCTGAGGTTAACTGCGACATCTGCCGGGGAAACAAGTTAATGGCGGTTAAGTCATGCCTTGTCTGCCGCAAGTCTTACTGTGAAATTCACCTGACGACTCATCTAAAGGATCAAGTGCTGACGAAGCACGGGCTGACAGATCCGGCCACCTTCATCGCCAGTCACCTCTGCAGAAATCACAATGAGCTGCTGGAGAAGTTTTGCAAGAAAGATCAGACACCTGTTTGTATGAAATGCACACAGATGGACCACAAAAACCATGAGATTGTTCCCATGGAGAAGGAGAGCATAAGGATCAAGGTGAAGAAGAGAGCGTTATTTCATCTAACGATCTACTTCAATCTTTTACCGCTGAGATTTCAAAATTATGCATTTGACAATTTAATTTATTTAGTTTATTGTATCATACAATACAACTGATGGTTTATGCTGCCAATATTGTGTTTGCTTACAAATTATGATACCTTTTACAGACTCAGATGATGAAGACCAAAGCAGAGCTTCAACACATGGTTCAAGACAGAATCAGAAAGTGTGATGAGATTAAGGCTTCAGTGGAGTTGAGCAAAGTAAGTGATTTTAATGTTTTTCAATTATAAACATTTATCGGGCAGAAACTTGTACTGTATGTCCCACTTGTCTTTCAAAAGTGGTGTCATTGTTGTCTCCATTCCTTTGCTTAAAAAAGAAACCAAAGCCCTCTGTCCCAATTGCCCCTGTAAATGCTCTGGCAATTTCTATTTCAGAGTGATAGAAAAAAATGCAGTTGACTTTGTAATCCATCACGCAGTTTGCTACTAGGTCTAAAAGGAACACAAGCAATGGTGTTCCAAGATAAAACACAACTACACTGCTATTTATGATAGTTGGTTGGATCCCTTTGCGTTACCCAAAGACAGACAAAAAAAAAGACAATCAAAAAAGGAAGAGTATTATTGAGAACCACATATGTCGGCAGTAAAAGTAGCAATACCACAATATAAACGCTATGTTACAAGTAAGTCATGCATTAAAACGTTTACTAAAATGCTGACTCAATATGTAAGCTTTCGCCAGAATTTTATTTTAAAACATTCAGAAAGTGAACTAACATCATTAAAAGAATGTGAAGAAGTCACCATTCTGAGCTTCAGCGTTGCGCTTTGTGTTGCAGAGATATACAGGTGCTGTCATAATTAGAATATCATCTATAAAGTTGATTTATTTCAGTAATTCCATTCAAAAAGTGAAACTTGGATATTATATTCATTACACACAGACTGATATATTTCAAATGTTTATTTCATTTAATTGTGATAATTACAACTGACAACTAATGAAAATCCCAAATTCAGAATCTCCGAAAACTGGAATATTACTGAAGACCAATACAAAAAAAGGATTATTAGAAATGTTGGCCAACTGAAAAGTATGAACATGAAAAGTATGAGCATGTACAGCACTCAATACTTAGTTGGGGCTCCTTTTGCCTGAATTACTGCAGCAATGCGGCGTGGCATGGAGTCGATCAGTCTGTGGCACTGCTCAGGTGCTATGAGAGCCCAGGTTGCTCTGATAGTGGCCTTCAGCTTTTCTGTATTGTTGGGTCTGGCGTATCGCATCTTCCTCTTCACAATACCCCATAGATTTTCTATAGGGTTAAGGTCAGGCGAGTTTGCTGGCCAATTAAGAACAGGGATACCATGGTCCTTAAACCAGGTACTGGTAGCTTTGGCACTGTGCAGGTGCCAAGTCCTGTTGGAAAATGAAATCTGCATCTCCATAAAGTTGGTCAGCAGCAGGAAGCATGAAGTGCTCTAAAACTTCCTGGTAGATGGCTGCGTTGACCCTGGACCTCAGAAAACACAGTGGACCAACACCAGCAGATGACATGGGACCCCAAACCATCACTGACTGTGGAAACTTTACACTGGACTTCAAGCAATGTGGATTCTGTGCCTCTCCTCTCTTCCTCCAGACTCTGGGACCTTGATTTCCAAAGGAAATGCAAAATTTACTTTCATCAGAGAACATAACTTTGGACCACTCAGCAGCAGTCCAGAGACGCTTCTAACGCTGTGTCTTGTTCAAGGGTGGCTTTTGAATGGGTTTTGTTTCACAATCTTCTCCAGGGTGCGGTTATCCCTATTGCTTGTACACTTTTTTTCTACCAAATCTTTTCCTTCCCTTCGCCTCTCTATTAATGTGCTTGGACACAGAGCTCTGTCAACAGCCAGCCTCTTTAGCAATGACCTTTTGTGTATTGCCCTCCTTGTGCAAGGTGTCAATGGTCGTCTTTTGGACAGCTGTCAAGTCAGCAGTCTTCCCCATGATTGTGTAGCCTACAGAACTAGACTGAGAGACCATTTAAAAGCCTTTGCAGGTGTTCTGAGTTAATTAGCTGATTAAAGTGTGGCACCAGGTGTCTTCAATATTGAACCTTTTCACAATATTCTAATTTTCTGAGATACTGATTTTGGGATTTTCATTAGTTGTCAGTTATAATCATCAAAATTAAAAGGAATGAACACTTGAAATATATCAGTCTGTGTGGAATGAATGTATACATTATACAAGTTTCACTTTTTGAATGGAATTACTGAAATAATTCAACTTTTTGATGATATTCTAATTATATGACCAGCATCTGTATACTTAAGTTAGCATTCTAAGCAGTTAGCTCTGGCTGTCCATTCTCATAATACCTCTTATGCCTTGAGATGCTATAGTGAGCCGAGGGTTTCTGACAAGAATACACACCCATAATCTGCTATAAATTATATATATTATATAGATATAAATGATGTGAATGTGAGAATAATAAAATATGCATCCCATGCTTGCCATTCCCTTTTATTTCGCAGTCCCGCTTACTGCTGTTTTCCTGGAGTTTCAATTCCTTTGATTTTCCCCTCTACACAAAGAAATAGCGAAAATAAATATCATTAAAACTCTGCACTTCTGTTATGACCCAGCTCGGGAAGGGAAGGGGAATGGTTTTGGTATAATGCAAATTATTTATTAAGGCACAGAGAGTTCACAAAAAAGATTCTACCAACTCAAACCGCTAAAAATTATATAAACCAAAGAACACCCCCCCCCCAAAAAAAAAAAAAAAAAAAGATTACTAACGATGATATGTTACCACCTATTTGTTTGGTGCATGTGGCCATGAATTACACATTTAAGAAAAAGTACAAAAAGTGAAAGTAAAACAAAATTGCAGAATAGCCCATTTCAAAATAATTTACCGTTACAATAACTGCTGGGAAGCTTAGGGATCAATAATGTTTTATCTTTATCTATATTACATCATCATTTATATTTTGCCATTTTGATACAGTTATCAAATAAATGTGGTTGAGTTAATAGTACAATATTAGTAGTGCTGTAGAAGACGAAAGTAGCAGAAAATGGAAATACTCAAGTGAAGTACCTCAGTTGTACAGTACTTGAGTATAAGGGTGTGAGTATAAGGAAAAGGTCCACAATTCAAGTTCATAACATATTTAATAAACTGGATAAAGGGATCAAATTCTTCAAAGAACTCCAGCAGCCACTGACATTTACAGCTGACAAGAGGTCGCCTCGCTTACACCCAGTGTCTGCCAAAGTGGCACTGATTTATTTTTTTTTTTTTTTAGGATGAAACTGCTTTGTCTTTAATGTTTTAATGACCGGGTCCATTTGTTTGTTGTTGGAGAGGAGACTACCTCAGTGGTTATCTAACTCCATCCACTGATGGGTTCCATTCTTTTAGTTGCGTTATTTTATATATTAATTCATATTGATTTATGCATGTCTGCAGGTATATAAAGAAAGAGAGATACAGGCAAGTGTTCATGTCTTTACCATGGTGAACAGCGTTATTGAGAGAAACATGGCTTTGCTCATTGAGGAGATCGAGCAGAAGTTTGAAGCAGCTGAAAAGACAGCAGAGAAGCATCTCAGAGAGCTCAGGGAGGAAATCGACGAATTGCAGATGAGATGCACTGAGCTGCATCACCTGGAGCAATCCGAGGACCCTCTTCATCTCATACAGGTTAGAAAATACAAAGATGCCCTCTATTAATGTTTTCATTTACACTGGATTATTTACCAAAGAAACACTCTACCAAATGTATTAAATAAATACAAGCACAAATCCTGACAACACCTCTTTTTTTCACACTCACGAGTAATGTGTGTCACTGTTGTCCTGTTTCACTGTAGAGTTTCCCCTTTATGGGTGCTCCACTGTCCACTAAAGACTTGTCTGAGGTCAGAGTTCACTCAGACAACTACATGGGGAAAGCGAGGAGAACTTTCTCCAAGCTGGTGGATGTCTGCCACGAACTTGAAAAGAAACTGTCTGCAGAAGGTCAGTAACTTTACGATTTGTGAGTTACCAAATAGTTACTCATACAACACAAGGTTACAATAATTCAAAAGTACATGCAGCCTTTTTTACTGTATATTTGAAACCCTCATGTCTAGTTCTACTGCTCAAATGCCATTTGCCAAATGGATTAGACAGTTGTTTCATTTTGTTTTCACAAAACTGACATTTAATTTTCTTTTCATTTTGTAGAAATGAGGGAGGCAAATCAATTTGCAGGTATGTGTATGGATATGTACTTATTGTGTAAATTTTTGCAGCATCTAGTGGTGAGGTTGCGAATCAGTCCACTGCTCACCCCTGCCTTTCCAAACAGAAAGGAGAATCTGGTGCCCGACACAGGACAAATGATATCGTTGTCTGAGTCAGCAGAGAGTAGCCAGTCAAGCAATGAGGTTTCGATAGATATATGAACACATTATATTTACTTTATTATTCAGCAAAACCATATGTTTTTTTGGCATTGTACAACACAAGGTTGTGCAACGAAAAGAAAGTTTGAAGTCTCTTCATGCTACACACACAGAACTTAACTTAGAACGTAACTTAGAAAATTAAATGTGTGTTAAAGTATGGTTACATAAAAAATAAATTAAATTAGTTCAAACAATATATACAGTTATTTATAAACATATGTACAGACATGTATAAGAAGTTAAAAAGGTTAAAAAGTCTCAAGTTTGGGAAACAGAGTCCATCTTGACTGTGTTTGAGCACCAAGCATCATCTCATCTTGCCGGAATCTTGCGCTCTGAACATGAACCGCCTGCCGACTGCTTGATCCGGGATGTTGATAGACCAGGTCTCTGTAAAGATGTGAGCACAGCCGTCTCTGATTTCTGTTGCTTGGCCGACATGTGTGCCATTTCTTCAGACCTGACTTTTAGTAGTAGCTTTAAGCTATAATTGTTATTGTTGTTATTGAGAATATTATTATAACTGCTACATGACGTTCGCATTCCCCTTTAATACTTTTATTTTACAGTACCGCAATCTTACATTTTGTTACATCTTGGGAGGGTGGCTCATCTGGACTAACATACCAAAGTAAATGTAGAACATCTCAAAACAATCACATTTAGTGCAAGTATAATTATGGCCACTGACATTGAAAATGTAAGCCAGAGTGTGTAATATTTTCACTGTTTCTGTACCACAGTCCATTATGAACAACATCAATGGGGAAAATGCCAGGTACGGGGTCATTTGAGCCAAAAGCTGAGAGAGATATTTTACATCACGAAAAGGATGTGACATTATGCATTTCAGACCAGAAACCATCATGGCATGCTTCTATAAATGGAAGACAGACAGTTTTCAACTCTTTTTGTGGATTTGGATTTGAGTTGTGGGAGAGGTACAAAAATGGGAAGTCCATTCATTAGGTGGCACGGGACATGATGATAAACAGGATGACTTTAAAGCAATGCATTGACAACTTGGAAACATGCCTGCAATAATACAATAGTTATCCATAAACATATAACATAAATATCACACAGAAATACAAAACTTAATTATAATGTGGCAGCCAGAGCTCAAAGTGGTAAATAATAGGTGCCGCTACTTCCAATTTACATCTTGCCGTGTGTACCTCCTGGAAAATCCCCCCCATCCACAACCTGTAGAGGTAACTAGGTTTTATTGGTGTTTTAGTATATTAGTTACATTAAACTGAAAATATAGGCCTCATGTTAGTATAATATTGATAAATGTATAGGTTACACCTTATTTGGACAATCTGCCTACAAGAGTATTTGTAACATTTAAACAGCTTATCAGTTGAGATTCAACAATTCAGCTGATTCACAAATAAAACCATTTTCTGATATTACACCACTGTGGTTAAGGTTTGATTAGGGCTATTGTTAGTGTATTATTATAATTGCAGATAACGGTATGTAGCTTACCACTAGTAACTGGACAAAACAACAGTTTCATTTTTCTGGGTTGTTTTCATTTATTACATCCTTGTGCATGAAAACTGTCCACAGTAGTAGTCTCATTTGTTAATGCTTAGTAGTCATTAGTCAATAATTGCCATTTTGCAGAATGTATGTATGGCACCCGAGCTTCTCCCTACTCTTTCTCCATGATTTGCAGGGATGCGACAGGTGAGTGTCACTTAGTGTCCTGAGATGCTGTTATGGAGAAGGCAGAAAAGAGTACCGGCAGCTTGTGAGAAGTATCTGTACAGAAGAAATAGTCCCTGGTTGCAGCACAGAGTAGTTACATAGGCTTCCCACTGTTTTCTAGTAGTCCTAACATAAAAAGCTCAGCTTTTTTTTGTTTTCATTTAGACTCTAAGGTATTGCATATGTGACAAGAATAAGCAAATAGTTGAAAATAGTGGAGTTTAGACTTTCAAACCCATAGAAAATTGTTTTTGCTCTGGAACAAGGAGCAAATGTGTTTTTTGGAAATGGCTGACATGGACCTGGGATGACCAGGAACATATAAAACTTCAATTAAATTTTAGGAAGAAGCAGCCAACACAAAATTACACAAACAGTAAAACTGGTTGTGGTTAAGACTAGAAGATTAAAAATGGCAGTGATCATTATAGTAATATTAATGATAATGACAGTAAGATTATTAATAATTGTAGCAGACTCCACAGCTTCGAAGCCAGAAACATTGACAGAAAGTGAGAGAAAGGGAGAGAGGAGAGGGCCAAAAATCACAAAACTATGGGAAGAGGGGGAAGTTGAGTTAATGGGACCAGAATGCATGCAGATGGAAAGGAAGAGGGGGAGAGATGTGTCCTCTTTCACATGTGTTTTGGGTGATTTGAAGACAGAATCACTGCAATATTCAAATTTTGGGTAATTTATTTCTTGAAATCTGTAGACTCTGAATATCAAATTTATGTTCTTTTTTTATCAATTATTCCCAATGTATATCTTCTGTTCCTGTCCAGTGGATGTGACTATGGATCCTGTAACTGCTGCAGGCTGGCTGATTCTGTCCCCAGATGGAAAAAAGGTAAAGTGTGACGGACTTAAATGTGACAAAATTGTGTATGACATTGTCCTTCAAGATGGTGCTGTGCCAGGGCCGTTTATAAGGGGCCCCAGGCAAAGGGATCTGGCTTACTGGCGGATTGCAAACCAACCTATTTGGGTGCATACCGTCACCGCCACCGCTACCATCTTAACTGGCACTGCGAACTAGTAGGTTTGTTGTGCAGAAAACTAGGGGATAGGGGCCACCGCTCTGCTCTGAGCCCTAGGCAATTGCCTGCTTAGCCCACCCAGTTGTGATGGCTTTGTCTTGCACTTAGGGTTAAATAAGCTGGTTTCTGTGGATTTGTCTGCTTAGAGATGGTTCACGTTATATCGATGATAGAGTTCAATCTGTTGGTTTTTTTTATAAGAACTTTATTGAAATCCTAACACAGATCAGTCAATCCATATATTAACTAAACAACAAATACCAAGCAACACAGTATAAACCATACACAAAATTAAATCTGAATATACTAAACTAATGTGTGCAGTTATGTCTAAATACAAAGTCAAAGTTAATTTTATTGACTTATAGACTAGCCTTTCAAAGCACTTCATGATCGTGTAAGTCGATAGGGTAGTAGTCATTGAAGCTGGAGGTGGTGACTTCTTTGGAATAGGAATGATTTTGCTTTTTAAGCATCTGGGGATTACAGCCTGACACAGTAAGGTATTGGGAATGTCTGTGTGGTGTCTGAACAATAATGCTGCGACAATGTGTTGAGAAGAAATCCGCTCATAAAAGTTTATTACATCAAGGAGTTCAGCATCATTTACAAGCTCTGCAGCAGCTTGGAGAGTGACCCAGCCCGATGGCCACTCTGTCTTTCTGTACATCAAACGTAGCTTATATAGGACATGTGTAGGTGTATGTTAGATACCATAGAAGGGTTCAGTGCTATTCTGAGGTAACAAAATAAGGTTTAGAGGTCAAATTCTATAGAAGGGTTCAGTCCCTACATAACCACCAATCGCTACTCTCCCCTTAGGTCACTGACCCTCTGTCCAGCTGCTACAGTGCTATTTTAAACTGTTATGCGTCAAATACACATATATTATACAATACATCTGTAAGGACATCCTTCAGCTCCCTGTCGACCAGGGTTGTTATCTGGACCCATTTGCTGTTGATGGTTTAAAATCAAGAAACACATATGGAGCTGAGGGGGTGGAACAGCAACTATAACAAGTGTAATTATGAAAAGATTGGATGAGAATCACTGGTACATATGTAAAAGGCATCAGGATACCTGTGTCTTTATTTAAAGACCTTGCTAATTAAAGCTAAGGTGGGCAATGTTTAAGAGACAGCTAGATTGTGCGTCCAGGTAGACAAGCAAGTAGGCTAATAACCCTGACACCAGATCACAGGATAGTTTGGGTTTAAAAGTTCCTCATACTAACTCTGACCTAGGGAAAACTGGTTTTGTTAGTATGCGCCAATGAAAGAGAGAGACACCCTCTGAGAAACTTGAAAGCTGAACTACTGTTTTTCTAAAAATATCTGTGATTGTTCTAATTAGTGTGGCTCTGTGTGTGTGTGTGTGGATGACGGTTGATTTTGTGTGAATAATTGACTTGCTGGTATCTTATGTATTTCATTTGTTTTCAGGTCTCCCTTTCATAAGATTTCTTAAGATCAGTGAGATTTCATGCGTAAAGCTATATTCACCAAATGCAACGTGATGATAATTACACCACAATTAAAAACATTCCTTACAATGTCCATAGTGTGTAAACTGAAAGTCAGTTGTTATTTTCATTTACAATGGTGATGATCCACAGGTGAGTCTTGGCAGCCAGCAGTGGAAACCCTCTCCCTCTGACGACGTCCGCAGGTTCGATTCCTGCGTCTCTGTTCTGGGAAAACAAAAATTCACCACCGGAAAAAGCTACTGGGTGGTTGAGGTAGGAAATCAGCCTCCAATCACAATTTGAACCTCAAACACTATTGACTCTCCACCAGCTGGTCCATCCTTACAAACGTGCTTACATGCATTATTGCAATCCTAAAAATTAGGTTTTAAGCTAAATATCTAGATTTTTTTAATCCCCCATTGTCTATAATAGTGCAACCATAAACACTGATTCTTGGATTTAGTTAGATGTGGTTTCTATAAAGCGACAGAAAGGCAGATCCAGAACAGAAGGTGTAGAAGACCATTACTGACCTACCGCCAATCCCATCATGCTGGATGATGCAGGCAGCATTATGTTCACCACGGCGTCTTGAGATTCTTTCGTGTCCCTTTACCAGCAGCTCTTGTTGCACCATTATTTGCTTGCCTGTCTAACTCTCTACTCTGTATATTGTGTTTCAGGTGGGAGAAAAAACAGACTGGGATCTTGGTGTGGCCAAAGAGTCCATAAAGAGGAAGGGGCCCATCACAGTTCGTCCTGACAGCGGTTACTGGGCGATCTGCCGGCGGAAAGGTGGCAGTCTCAGTGCTTGTGCCGGCCCCTGTGTCACCCTCAACCTCCAGGAAACCCCTCAGAAAGTGGGCATCTACCTGGACTATGAAGAAGGATTGGTGTCTTTCTACGACGCAGAAGCAAAGACTCACATTTATACTTACAGTGGATGTAACTTCACTGAGGCTCTCTACCCGTACTTAAACCCCTGTCTTCATGACAATGGGAAGAACACTGCCCCATTGATTATCTGTCCTGTTAACGTTGGGTTCACTGAAGAGACTGCAGCTTTTTGAACAGGAGATTGAGGGCACACTTGTTTAGACGGCAAAGTTCATGAACATTTCCTTATCTATTATGACATTGTCATTTGCAACCCTTTCCTCATCGCCTTGACCAGCGCTGCTCTCTCCAGCTTCATCCAAATGTACTTTAGTTTCTCTGTGTCTATTGACACATTATCACTGTTGTTTCTGGGTCTCCCTCGTTTTGTCTTCGCTTGTGGGTTCTATGTTAGGGCACGTCTGGTTATATTGGTTTTGGGCTTCCACAGGATGCGTCCAACCCCACTTCCTTTTCCTCATCTTGGTGTTCGGCCAGTATAACTTCAAGATGGATCTTAGGTACTGTAGACAAAGATCTGGGTTTTGTAAGTGTGTTTCTCCGCTGTATAGCAGCAGGGATTTAACACTGGTGTTGAATAGCAAGAGTCTGGTTCTTCGCAACTTGGCTTGAATAAATTAACCTTAACATTTTTTTAGCTGATTTGAAAAACAATCTGATAAATGACCACAGAATAATCCGAACCGTGAGTTTAGTGATCTGTTGAACCACTACCTTCAAAGCTCAGGTACTCTCCTACCCTAATGCCCTTTAAATAGGTGTGCCGTCTTGCTGAGAATACATCCACATCTCAACCAATGTGTGCATTACTGCTTCTATAAAGATACAAAGATACACTTCCTGATGTTTGTTGTCATCCCAAAATGGTCAGGATCTTCAGAAAGCACAAGCATTTAGAAGCATACATAAGACAAACAAATTAATAAACTCATTCACCAATTTGGCAATGAATAAAGAAACACTGAAAGGGAAACATGAAAAGCTAGTAATAACAATTGTAGCAGAGGGTGTCCAGTAGGAACATGGGGGCAGCAGGTGACTCGCAACCACAGATCCACACTCAGAGCCAGAAACGCCTGCAGGAAGTGATGGGAGGAGAGAGGAGAGGGACGAGAAAGCACAAGACTCCTGGAAAGGGAAGATTTTTGAAGACATTCTCCTCTAATTCAAAAGGCTTATTTTTAACTTCAATCCAGGCATTTAATCTCAATCACCTAGAAAATAGTTGAGGTCGTGTGTGAGTCATTAGTTTCACCTAGCTGTCATACAGTATTGTTATGTAATTCAGAATCAGACATTTTTATTGATACCCGAGGGCAAAACTCTGTGTCACAGTTGCACACATTGCACAGCAAGGCAAAAGGAATATAAATAATAATAGAAAGTTGGTGTATATAAAAAAGTATAAAAATATCAGAGTAAAAATATAAACTACAAAGAAAATATAAAGGATTGTGGATATTTACAATATTAATTACTTAAAGCTGGGGTAGGCAACATTGCAGAAAGAGACAGTTACATTTTGTTTTATTTGTAGAATTGCTTGTTTATTTGCGTGGGCACTGTGATTAAAAAGAAAACAGGGAGTGATTTTGAATACCTTGTATGTTCTAATGATGTGGAACTGTCGATACAGTTATGTTTATGCATTTGTTTAAATAATCCCCACTTTATCGTCAATTTTTATGCACATAAATGTTTGGCATTAGTTTTAGAAATGTTCCACAGTATTCTGATTTACAGTGGGTACGGAAAGTATTCAGACCCCTTTAAATTTTTCACTCTTTGTTTCATTGCAGCCATTTTCCAAAAATCAAAAAAGTTCATTTTATTTCTCAGTAATGTACACTCAGCACACCATCTTGACAGAAAAAAACAGAAATGTAGAAATTTTTGCAAATTTATTAAAAAAGAAAAACTGAAATATCACATGGTCATAAGTATTCAGACCCTTTGCCGTGACACTCATATTTAACTCAGGTGCTGTCTGTTTCTTCTGATCATCCTTGAGATGGTTCTACACCTTCATTTGAGTCCAGCTGTGTTTGATTATACTGATTGGACTTGATTAGGAAAGCCACACACCTGTCTATATATAAGACCTTACAGCTCACAGTGCATGTCAGAGCAAATGAGAATCATGAGGTCAAAGGAACTGCCTGAAGAGCTCAGAGACAGAATTGTGGCAAGGCACAGATCTGGCCAAGGTTACAAAAAAATTTCTGCTGCACTTAAGGTTCCTAAGAGCACAGTGGCCTCCATAATCCTCAAATGGAAGACGTTTGGGACGACCAGAACCCTTCCTAGAGCTGGCCGTCCGGCCAAACTGAGCTATCGGGGGAGAAGAGCCTTGGTGAGAGAGGTAAAGAAGAACCCAAAGGTCACTGTGGCTGAGCTCCAGAGATGCAGTCGGGAGATGGGAGAAAGTTGTAGTAAGTCAACCATCACTGCAGCAATCCACCAGTCGGGGCTTTATGGCAGAGTGGCCCGACGGAAGCCTCTCCTCAGTGCAAGACACATGAAAGCCCGCATGGAGTTTGCTAAAAAACACCTGAAGGACTCCAAGATGGTGATAAATAAGATCCTCTGGTCTGATGAGACCAAGATAGAACTTTTTGGCCTTAATTCTAGGCGGTATGTGTGGAGAAAACCAGGCACTGCTCATCACCTGTCCAATACAGTCTCAACAGTGAAGCATGGTGGTGGCAGCATCATGCTGTGGGGGTGTTTTTCAGCTGCAGGGACAGGACGACTGGTTGCAATCGAGGGAAAGATGAATGCGGCCAAGTACAGGGATATCCTGGACGAAAACCTTTTCCAGAGTGCTCTGGACCTCAGACTGGGCCGAAGGTTTACCTTCCAACAAGACCCTAAGCACACCGCTAAAATAACGAAGGAGCTGTTCTTGAATGGCCCAGCCAGAGCCCTGACTTAAACCCAATTGAGCATCTCTGGAGAGACCTGAAAATGGCTGTCCACCAACGTTTACCATCCAACCTGACAGAACTGGAGAGGATCTGCAAGGAGGAATGGCAGAGGATACCCAAATCCAGATGTGAAAAACTTGTTGCATCTTTCCCAAAACAACTCATGGCTGTATTAGATCAAAAGGGTGCTTCTACTAAATACTGAGCAAAGGGTCTGAATACTTATGACCATGTGATATTTCAGTTTTTCTTTTTTAATAAATTTGCAAAAATTTCTACATTTCTGTTTTTTTCTGTCAAGATGGTGTGCTGAGTGTACATTACTGAGAAATAAAATGAACTTTTTTGATTTTTGGAAAATGGCTGCAATGAAACAAAGAGTGAAAAATTTAAAGGGGTCTGAATACTTTCCGTACCCACTGTACATTTATAAATTGAGAAGAAGTTTGATCTTAAAATACCACAGGTTAATGATGCCCTGCAGAACATTCTCAGGTTATATAAGAAAAACTTATCCACATTAAGACATCAGTCACACGCCTGGTTTTCATTTGCCATGGTTTTCAAGTGGCCAAAGAATCTTAGAGAACCAACTGTATAGTGCCATTAGGATATACAGTCTACGCCTATACAGTAGGCGTAAACATAAACAACAGTATGCATTCAAAGCCAAAAGAAAACATGTACAGTACATTGTGCAAAGGCACAAGCAGACTGCACCATGTTTTTTCAGTTTCACAGGCTTTGAGTTTTAAAGGCTAATACTGGTTTGTTGACTTTAATGCAACTAAAAAAAAGAGAAAGTAATCAGCAGCATTGAGTATTTTTCCTTTTTGACCCAAATCATCAGCAGTTTGTAAACGGATCATTTGTCTTCTTTTGATGTTGTTCGTTGTCACTATTATATAACTGCTATATCAAATTGTTGTTTGCCAGACCTCATTTACAGCTGATATATGCTGCTAATTAGCAATCATGTTAATATAAAACAGCTGAGAAGTTTAAGTAAATATCCATGGGGTGTTTTCATTATTTTGTCATCGTGAGGGAATTTCCCTTAGTGGGCTTAATGAGGTAACAAATGATGTACAGGCCAGAAACATGTCACACTCAGAGACACATATTCAGTCCAGTAAAAAATGACCTTGTTTAGGATTTGTTGTTCACTGTATTGGACAGTAAAGGGATAAATAGTGTGCAACCAAGAAGGCGTCTTCAGATTTGGTTTGGCATTACACTTTGTTTGACTCAGTACTGCTGATGCCTTTGTCTCCTCATACGAGCTTCTTTAAACAATGCTCTGCATTGATTAGTGTGTTTTGTTTACATTTGTGAAGAAAAGAGACAAATGACCATAAGATCAGGGTTTTTTTCTGAGGGTGTAAGCTTTCATTGTACAAAATACTGTATATTCTTTTGCATGAAAAATCATAAACTTTATGAAACATTTACATTTGTTTTTGACATTTCTCTCAAATTTTAATTTGGTCTAAATGTCCTTATTTATGGAATTATTATTAGACTAAAACATCTATTAAAATACTTTAACATTATAGTTTATAATTGTAAAAAAATCTTTTGACTTGTTGCTAAATCTGTGCAGAATCATCACACATTAATGAATACCCAGCATAGTGCTGTTAGTTTTTCATGATTGACATTTGTAGACAAACAGCTCTTGTCAACACATTGCTCAAAAATAGCCAACTTACAACACTTCGAAAAGCATGTTGGGGTTAATGACAGGTAAAGTGTTCATTTTGACAGCACCCCTTCAGTTTGACTTCCTATGTTTCACAGTTGCTCTGCAGGTAATCCAGGTTCTGTCAGTTTCTTATATTCCTCCTGCAGGGCTGTTTCATTGGTCCACTGATGTGCGAAGGCATGATTTTACCATTGTCTGATTTACAATTACACTTACTCATTTGGCAGATGCTTTTATCCAACGCGACTCACATTTGAGGAACAACATACAAGCATCAGTAAAAGTGAGAGATCTATGACCAACAATAGATACTAGTGAAAGCTGTAAAATATTTAGAAGCGATGAACTGGGAAAAATGATAGGACCGTTAACTAGAACTGCCACACTCTTTCAGAAATAAATCTTATTCAACTCTGTCAACAGCGTAGCCTCCACCACTCACCTACTGTTACATTAAACAAACTGCTGTGACCCGCGAGGAAACCCAGCGTTGCTACTCCTCAGTAAGGAAAGTAGCTATTGGCTGACCTAAAAGTGGTTAGAAGTTGCTAAAAGACGTTAACACCTAATTTGCATAATCAGCCATGTGCAAGTAATTGTCATGGATGCTGTAGGAGAGTGGAATAATGTCGCGTGAGAGACAAAAAGTGAAAAACAAACACCCTAAATACCTTTAAAACTACAATCATGTAGTTCTAAACATATCTGCGCATGTATGATTCATTTAAAGTCTCTGGACTCGGAGGGGAGAACTTCTCCTGCTCTGACTGCTGCGTGAGGACTGGGCCGCCTATGAGTGCTTTGGGACGGGGAAGCTCTTTATGAAGAGTAAGAACGAAAAACTGTTTTCACGTCAGAGTCTCCAAAAGTCTCCAATAACGCCAGAAAACGTCACTACATTTGTCTATTTTGAAAAAGAGTCTGAAAACTCGCTAAATATAGCGACAAACTCTGTAAATCGGCAACACTGACGAAACCGGGAAAGGTTAATGAATAACGGGGTGTAGGAAGTACGGTGAATGTTTTCAGGAGAGGAGAAGTGATGAGGGCTATTTTTATTATTATTTAACTCATGTATTTGAATGACATTTGACCAACTCACCATGATCACATACTTTCCTTTATTTGTTCAGGTAGACTCCAGTCAGCTGATAGTGTTGTTTGGCAGTGTGTTGTTAGCAGGGGAGCTGCAGACCGCCCTAACATTTTTTTAGCTGATTTGAAAAATTTGTGTGTGTGACCACGGAATGATCCGAACTGTGAGTTCTGTGATCCGTTGCACCAATACCATCAAAGCTCAGGTACACTCCTACCCTGGTATTCAGGTACCCTCCTAACTGGATGCCCTTAAAAAAAGGTGTGCCCTCTTATTGAGAACACTTCCACATCTTGACCAATCTGCACATTACCGCTTCTTCGAAGATAAACTTCCTGATGTTGGTTGTTGCACCTAGTCCTCTGCAAATTTTACTACGTGCTACACTGGCCAAATCTTTAGAAAGCACAAACATTTAGAAGGATACATAAGACACATTTAGAAACTTTTTCACCAATTTGACAATGCATAAAGGACCACTGCAAAAAGGGAGACATGTAACAATGTCTCAACAACGATGTTTCCTGGGGACACTAAAAACTGACGAACATGCCAGTAATCAGCAAACATTACATTTAGCTGACACGTTTATCCGAAGTCACTTACAATTACTATACATGTCAGAAGTCACACACCTCTGAAGCAACTTGGGGTTAAGTGTCTTGCTCAGGGACACAGTAGTGAATGTGTCACAGCAGGGAGTTGAACCCAGGTCACTCACACCAAAGGCATGTGTCTTATCCCCTGAGCCATAAATACTCTTGGCTAATGTGACTCTTGCAATCAGATTGTTAAAACTAATAAGAACATTGTGAAATAATTTTCCAACACCATTGATGAGTTGTTAACATCAAACCGTATGTTTGGGTGCGTTCATTGGCGCCCCCTTCTGAAAGTTTCAGTTGTGTTGTAATTCCATTTTGTTGTGTGCAGATTTACTTGCTTTAGATTCTTGAAGACTTTCTCCTCTAATTCAAAAGGCTTATTTTCAACTTAAATCTAGGCATTTAACCTCAATCACCTAAAGAGTCGTTTAGGTCACGCGAGACATTAGTTTGACCTTCCTGTCATACAGTGGTGGAATGTAATTAATTACTTAAACTCAAGTACTTTACTTTAAGCTGAAGTAGGCA